AAATACACTAAGACAGAATTATTGAGAAATGTCAAGCGCCTGCCGTGAATTCAGTTTACTGGTAATAGGGCTGGAATTTCAGCAAATCCTTTTGACCTCGGCACAAAATACGCTAAACAGCCATTAGTTATTTGAGGCAAAGTTCTCTATTCCCGGCAGTCTAAACTTCTCGTAGTCGAGAAAATGAAATAAACAAGTACGATAAGGCAAACACATGACTGAAAATATTCTTCCTTTCAAGCGCTTTTCTAATTTCATGAAATGAAACGACTACGAATCCAGACATGAACACTCTTTCGTTCTTGAAACATGTTAAGCGCTTTCCAAGCGATCCAGAAGCAAAGTAGAGTGTTAGTTATTTTCAGTTCAAAATATTGTGAGTGTCGGGCATCGTATTGCCCCGATTTTGAAACCGCCGATCAAGCATTGCGTCATGCTATTATTTGTATTTATGAGTGTTGTGCTCGCACAGTCACATTGGTATAATCATTGAAAATTAAATTCTTTTCCGAATATTTAGGTTTACTGCAAATATCTTTGTTGTTCTGTTTATTGTCTTTTGTAATTGAACAACCTACTCGAGGTTAACTCCATAAGCTGAAATTGTCTTCAATGCTTCAAAAGGAAGATCTAATGGGAAAACTATTTCCTATCGGCTAGCGAGCAGTCACTCATTTGAATGTCCCCCTGGGCAGATCCTCTAAGGAGCATCCTTCGGTCAGCAGCTTTCTCGCTTCATCTTCATAAAATGCCGCACGGACAGTGTTGAAACCTTTACCACGTATGTTGCCATTTGTATTCAAAAATTTCGATATGGCTGTAAAGATCTGTGCAAGAATCTTCTCTATTTTAGGCATCTTTGAATAGCATCACTTGCGACTACTCTTTTGAAGCACTGGCCATCCATGGTCTCAGTATTGGTATTCATAGGTTTTCCGCATCTAGACACAGTGCTTGTGCTGAGACTGGATGTGGATGAAACTGTGACATTTGAATCACTGATGCGGTGCATAGAGGAATCCCCTAAGGATTCGACGTCATCATCTTCTGAGCTTGAAGCTGTAAAATCACAGGTAAGGGACTGTGCAATAATTATCAGGAGGGGGGGAGGCTGTAAAACCAGCTTTCTCAAGAGGAAAATTAGGCAGTACCCCCCCCTCCATAGCATAAGAAAATAGGTCTGACCCCCCTCTGCTATACAAGAAATAACGTCGAACCCCCCCCCCCTTCCCAAACTATAAACCTTAATTATAGTAACCTTATTGTAAATACCTGTAATACATGTTATTCATGCCTTTGAGACTTGGTTTATGTCATCGTCTGCTACAAACAGAACTTCAAACGAATGCTCAACAAAGCCATCCATTTCATGGGAGTCATCTGAATCTAAATCATAATGGTTTTCAAAACTACTTKWGTCAGAAGATTCATATTCGGAATCACTGGATAAGAATTCTGTGTCACTATCATTGGAACCAATTCTGTCGCTGYTTTGTGTTTTAGAATGTGAGTAGTGAAGAGCACGTGCTACTAGCGCAGCTTTACTTCCAGTTACATGTAGATTGTTCTGCTTGAGGTATTTTTTAATTTGTCTCGCAGTGAGGGATTTGACTTCGCATTCATCCTTCCAGTTAATATCAGGAA